GRAWWARRWTTTTTTAATCCCCTTTGCCCTGTGCTATTTCAGGACACTTTGGGTCTCAGGTTGTTCGGCCAGGAACGAGCCACTGTAAACTCTGCAGCAGAGTTAACATATGAACCACAGCAGCTGTGATTCTCCTTTTCAATCATTCTGTTCTGTTTGGTGGGAAAGTTTACTCCTTGACTCATTAGATTACAAAGGTGCCAGAAAACTGGAGAAGTTCTCCAAGTGGCATCTCAGAGCACGTTGAGTTTAAATAAATTGGTGAGGTTGGTGAGGCCTATCCTGATTCTGTTGCTCTTTCCTTTTTTTTTCTTTTCAGCTGGCAAAGTCAAAAGCGTTGTGGTGGAAGGGTGTTTTGTTAGTATTGCGGCTTCATGAACGTTTACAAACCTATGAAAGAACAGTATCTGTTTAATATAGTGAAAAATATGTTACTTTTCTCCTCTTGTTTGACATTAGGTCCTCAACAGTGACAACCTCCTGTGAAAATGGCAGAGCAACTGTAGTGGCAATGAGATGCAACCCCAACAAACCAAATCAAGGAGAGCTTTCTGTSCCCAGGTATTTCAGTCTTTGTCTCCTAGTAGCACCAAAAACTCTTTGCTCCTCTGGTAGTCATTACAATACTCATTAGTAATTTTATACATAATAGCCATGAGTGCTCTGTCCCTCGGGAGTCATCCAGGACGTCTCTCTTGTGTCTCCTGGGTGTCCACCCCCTCCCAGCAGAGCAGCTCATCTGTGTTTAGGCTGTGTGTTCTGAGGTTCTTCTGAGCKTAAAGGCAAAAGAAAATGCAGAGATGTTTTCTTGTCTTCGCTTCTTTATTTCAGTTCCTTAATTTAATCTTTGGCATCCTCATTAGAACTGTCTGGTAGGGACTTTGGGAGATTGTTTTTCTTCCTTGATCTACAACAATGGCTATGGACAACTTTTTATTTTTTTTTTAAAGAGCAACCTGTCCTAGGAACTGTGAAATCTGCTATTGCAATGCTAATATGAGCCCTGACTCTGTCTATTTTATGTTTGGGATATATTTATTTATGTCTCATCACTGTATTCTGGCCACCTTGTACCAGTTGTCTTTAATTTGCCTGACTTTTTTCCCCCTTCAGTCTGATTGCAGTGACTTAAAGATCTTCTTTCTTCCAAAATCCTGTTTATGCCTGCATAAACATAAGGCACAAGCATAACTGAAAAATTACAAAAAAAAAAAAGAACCAAAAAAAAACTAGTTAAAGAATYAATTCTTTTACTCTTTAGCAACACACTGTGATTTTGCTGGAATTCCCTTTGACTCTGATAATGGTCCTCTTTGGTTATCAAGGCCCATTTTAGTCTGGATGTTACTATGAATCTGTTGATACCTCTCTCACTCATCCTCCTTCCCAAAAGCTAAGTCCTCTTCCCAAAATTTAACAGTGCGAGAAGTGTGGGATGCTTTGATCCCTGTCCCCAGATAGCCAAACTGTGCTTGTCTGAATGAAGGAAAAGTGGAGTCTTCACAGGTGATGGATGAGTGATTGATGCTTGAACAATTTGGAGGTGCTTGCCTCCGTTTCTGAGGGACCTGTCACACTACAAATCATGCTGGGCAAYAACCCACTGTCTATCAGCTGCTGTGTGAAAATTCTCCAGTTGTTCTTACAGTGCCACAGGATAAACACGATGTGAACTGTGCTAAATCACCAAAAGTGAGGGAGGAACAACCTACCTTGCTTTTAAAAGGGTGAGCATGGGCAGAAATGGCAGACAGCTGACACACGTACCTTAGCTCAGTTCATCTTCTCCTTTCCTATCCCCCTTTGATTAGCTCAGCAGGGAGCTGTTTTCACATTGTGAGGTGTCAAGTGTATGTAACCCCTTGATTCTCCAGGCATGGTGTTTAGTATCACATGAAGCTGCASTATAAGATGAAAGCAGTTGAGGAGAAGGATCTGTCAGTTCTCTTGCCATGTAGGTTGAAAAAATGCTCCATAATTCACAGAGGAATGTACCTGTTATCAGGTGTTTAAATCTGAATAAACCAGAATGGGCTTTTAGATTGGGGGACTTTTCAATGCTTCAGATCAGGATATCAGTTTTCTAAATGATATTTTATAACTTTAAATCCATTTTTTTTCTGTATGAATATATTTGGTATTGCCATGACCAAACTCCTTGYATGGACTTTTGGCCATTGCTGCTGTTAGACCTGATGTGATTGTCAGTAACAAAAGCTACGTGTCTGTCCTGCTATTGCCAGTACAACTTTCTTCTGCAGGCTGAATGCAAAATAGACCATTAGTTTTTCTTAGAGTAGAAGAAGCTGTTATTTCTTCATTAACTTGTGAACATCCTTCTAGTAATTAACCATGACAGGACRAGTCCATTCCATATGGACTAAATCACCCAGACATCATTAGAAGAACGGCAGGAATCAGATAGCAGCATTCRTGTGGAACAGCCACCTTGTGCAGGAGAACAGTGATGGAGGTGTGTGCTGGTCAAACACTGGTGTAGTTCTGCTCCTCTCCCTCTCCCTCTCCTCTTCCTCTCCTCTCCCAGCACTCACTGCCAGGAACTGAATTGATATTTTAGATCTTTGACAGCTCAACACCTGTTTTCACTTGAGAAAGCATTTTACAAACTGGGAAAATTTCTTCCCTCAGATTCTTCCATCTGCTGACTTGATGGATGTTTACTCATTTCTCTTCCCATTCCCAATCTTCAGCAGCAGAACGTGGACGAGGATGCAAACCCCATTGTGTTTCTTTCATAAATGRTAACTGAGCTCTGCTCTCCTTGTAGCTCCTGCCCCGCGGGCACCTGTGATGGATGCACTTTCTACTTCATGTGGGAAAGTGCAGAAGCTTGTCCTCTYTGCACAGAGCAAGACTACCACGAGATTGAGGGGGCCTGCAAAAAGGGATTTCAGGTACAGGACATGAGTGTCCAAGTCAAATGGGCTCATTTGGTTGTAACTTGGATTCTTGTTGAAATTTGATTGCAAACGTACAGTAAGTACAGGTAGGGCTGGAAGATGTCAGGCTCTGAGCTGGCTTGGGTSCAAGCCAAGGGAGGAGCTGTGTTGAGACTCAGGAATGTTTGTGCCAGGGGCAGTGTGGTTCCTGGAGGAGAGCTGGCTTCTGCTGACCAACTGTGTGAGCAAGAACATGAGCTCTCAGTGCATTCATACAGGCAGCCAATAATTTGTGAAAGAGGAGTCCCCAAAGGGCTGTGGTTCTTTAATGGCCATAAACATCAGGAGMAGCCTAGGAAAGGTTTCTAAATGTCAGTTCATAAATTCATCCTACTTGCTTGCAGTGATTTTGCTGTTGCCTTCTTTAGTCAAGTATTAGGGAGTCCTTCCACAGGTTCAAGCTGTCCCTTTTATCAATAGCTCCTGTGCAGGCACAACTCATTCCCAGCAGCTATCCAGCCCAGATTGTGTCACATGGAGAGCTATACAGCACAGGAAAACCATTTGCTATGCCTGAACCTGCAGGCACGAGCAAGGGGATGACTGATTAGTCAATATGACTTCACCTAGAGTCTGAAAACCTGAAGGATGTGTTTTGGTTTCCTTCTATCAAAAAGTTATCTGACCTTTCTACCTCAGAAAGAGCTTGTTTTCTGCAATTCTAAATAGATCTTTTTTATTCTGACAAGCAGCTCACTTTTTGTTTTTGTTTTCTCTTTGGAAGGAAACCTTGTATGTATGGAATGARCCAAAGCATTGCATTAAAGGAGTTTCCTTGCCAGAAAAAAGGACAAGCCCTTGTGAAACAGTAGATTTTTGGCTTAAAGTTGGAGCTGGTGTTGGTGCTTTCACAGCTGTTCTGCTCATAGCCTTGACTTGCTATTTTTGGAAGAAGAACCAGAAGTAAGTACTACAATTTGTGTTCTRTATCAAAGTTAGCTAAAAGCTTGATGGAGTGAACAGGAAAACTTTTCCTGGATCTGACTTTATGACACTGTTGATGAGAAGCATCMTGTAGGATCAGTCCATTTATACAAGAAGTTGATATTTCTTCTGTAATCAAAATTCTGGTGAGGAAAGTACAGAAAATCCACAGCARTTTGTTACGGCATAATTTGCCAATAGGAACTGTCTTTTTAACCTTTGAGAGTCTGAGGTTCACTTTAGGTTCTTAAGCAACAGGGCTTTTTCAAGCTCTGAAGACCAGAAGGGTATCTTTAGTCGAATTAGTCCCTTTCAGCTTGGTAAAAAATAAGGTTCTTGACCATATTGCCTAGTTCTATTTTGGTTACTTCCCCAACCAGCACTTCTTCATGCAAGAAGCCCTCTCAACSTACTTATACTCTTTTGGGAAAACACGATTCTTTCATAAGGATAGAGGACTAATTGGAGAGCAAGAGCTTGGTGTACTGTTAATGCTATTTTGTTTACATATTTTTAATGATTGAAAAATATCTATTTTCTACTAAATACCTCAGAAGTAACTATGTAGGAAGACTGCAGATAATCTAAATTACAAAATCCCTGAGTATAGGACATTAGTGAAAAAATCTGTTCCTGTGTGGCTTTATATCTTCAGACTGGAGTATAAATATTCCAAATTAGTGATGACAACGAACTCAAAAGAATGTGAACTGCCAGCTGCTGACAGCTGTGCTATAATGGAAGGAGAAGATAATGAAGAAGAAATAGTATATTCAAATAAGCAGTCACTGCTGGGGAAGCTCAAGTCCTTGGCAACTAAGGTGAGTAGTAATTACCAATATTGATGCCAAAAATAATTATTACCTTTATTTATTACTGGATGTGATGRGTCTTTGATGCTAATTTCACAGCAGTGCAGCCTCCCACGCACACCTCATCCGGTCCGTAGTGATCTGCTGAAATTTACAGTCTGGATAAAGTTAAGAAATGTTGTAGGGTTTTGGGTAAATGCWCCTTCCTCCACAGAGAGATTTTGGCAGCATTTTTTATTGCATGGGTGACACCTGAAAAGATGTTAATGACAGAGAGAAACTTTCTTCCCAGAGTCCTCCCAGGCACCTTCACTGCTGAGGGAAACACAGCTATCATAGATATAAAAAATTAACATTGGAAACACAGCTATCAGAGATATAAAAAATTAACATTGTCAACACAGCCACCAGCCAGTTGCTTGCAGGCCACCTGAGCTGGCTTCATGGCCGACTTGGGAACCACAATTCTGAGTAGGATTTACTTGAAGAAGATGCATCAGCCTCAGCCTCCTGCCCAATACAGCAACATCCTCCATTCCACTGGGAAGCAACACCAAAAAACATTTTTTTCTGCAGTACATGTGATGTGGATTGTTGCATGTCTGAATTGACAGCACCAAATCCTTGGTGTCCTTTGAACATTTCTGAGAGGAGCCACCGAGGGCCTTCATGGGGATCCCAAAAGCTCTTTGGTCTTTGCTSCAAATGCCTTGAAGTCTGTGCTATGGGAAGGGTAGTGCTGTCTTTAAGGGATGGATTCCAGATCTGTTATGATCAGGATAAAGGCAAATGTCATTTTCCCTTTCAAACAGTTTTTGTTGAAGTGGGTTTCTTAGAAAGTTTCTTACAAGGATGAACCTAATAGGAAGGTGTTCTAAAAGACCATAATAAAGATTTATTTTAAACATCACACTCTAGTTTATGGTCCAAATAATATCTTTGAATGTTGAATTTAGATTTTTTTTCTTGTATTCCTTTTTTCTTTCTGTGATTGAGTGCAATGTCATTAAAACTTGTGTGCTGTCTTTCTGTTCCCCTACTATTTTCTTCTCTTCATTCTTTTACTTATTTTATTAGGCTGGTGTCCTCTTGCCACACTCTACCTGCTCCCCACATATCCYTCTGAGGAGAAGTTACCATTGCACAGATAATGTGCAGAACTTTCCCTTGACCCCAGGCTGACTATTTGTCCTGGAAAATCAATATTGTTCCTAGGGGAAAGGGGCAGAAATTCAATATTAGTTCTTAATTCAATATTGAGAATATTGAAAATGTAAATAAAATCAAATCACATCAAATTTTCTGGTGATGTTGCAAAAGCAGAAGTAAGSTTTAGTACTTCAGTATTCAGACAACTTGAATACCTACTTGGAGTTTTTTAMTGTTCCTATATCCACTGCAGCAGGCTTCCTGAGTGTTGTCTCCTTTTTCAACAAGCCTGACAGATATTTCTAAGCTTGTTCTTTTTTTTACTGCTAGATAACAGTAACTGGCAAACTCAACTTCCAGTGTCTCATTAGCTTACTCAGCTGTGTCCTGTATTCCTGCAGATAACTCAAATTTAATATATATTTATTGAAAACAAATGTTATAGGCATCACTTTTCATTTATGCAAAAGATTAAAAAGTTCATGTCCTGCTCCATATGCATGTCAAATACAGRAAAAATATATGGAGGAAAGCAGGGGAGGAAAAGGAGAATTGTRAAATGAGAGAGAAAGAAAACTCCGCGGTATCCTAACTATATGTTCAAGCTTGAGGCAATGCCATTTCTGCCAGCATGTCACAAAGATGTTAGTGGGTTTGAGTACCCAAGGGATGAGGGATAGGCCTGTAATATAGAAAAGGATGGCTTATTTTTAATGAGATAGAAGCCAAATAATTACAAACCTGTTTCAGATTGGAGGCTGTTCCAGTTGCATCTGCAGCATAACAATACTGGGTTCTTCAGAACACATACTCTGCACTAGACTAGCAAAGGACAATTTCTCCCCTTCCTTCTCACATCTGCACCAGGCTGACCTGATCTGAGTGAAGGGCTTTAAAAATCTKATCATGAAGGTAGTTTAAGATAGTTTCCAAATTATTTGGATGTGTATGTTCCCATTTCTCGCTCACCCTGATGCCTCCTGGCCARATGGCCTAGGCTGTCACCCAGCAAATGAAGACAGAGAGAAAGCTCAGCCCTCAACCCCTGATTTTTAAGATGACAAATGATTTGTAGACTCTTTTCATGGATCTCCTGGAGGAGGAATTAAGATTGGAATCCAGGAGCAAGGCTGTGGTGTTCACACTCACAGAGTATGCTCCAAACATTTTATATGTTGTAAGAAACACATTCATAAGTGATAATAACCATAGAAATGATTACTTTGCAATTCCCCAGCTCYGACTACCTGTTCTATTCTATGAATATGAAATGCAGACTTTCCCTGTACCCTCTACCATGAACAATAGCTGTAGCATAATGTTAYTGGTTTTGCGAATTTTTACAGAATTAGTAATGATATTAAATATTAAAGAGTGAAACTTAATGACTGTATTAAAAATAAAGTGAAGTTTTTGGCAAAGGATATTGAGAGAAGAAATTATTGTGCTGACTCTTGGAGAGAACTTGAAGAAACCCAGTTGATGGAAACCTGTCTTTTCCATTGCAGGAAAAGGAAGATAATTTTGAATCTGTTCAACTGAAATCTTCAAGATCCCAGAATATATGAAGAACTAATGCTGCCTTCAAAGAAACAAACCTAATTTCTATTTTTACAGGACCATATTTTAAACATATTCTGGCACACATTATAGTGGTGATCTTGGTGAGAAATGCTTGGCCATTTAGGAGGAAAGAAGACAGGAAGCAAACCAGAAAATTGGATTGCCTTACCATGTGATTGAGTACCTTGCCAAAAAAAGAAAGCAGATGCTTGGATTCCACACTGGGAATGAAATTCAACTCAGGAAGAGATAAACATACTGCAAATAACATGAATTTTTTGCATTCACCTGGGCATCACTCAGGCATGCCATATGATTTATAGGTACCTTTTGTTTCCTTCTCACTCCTTCTATGTTTATTCCTAAGAAATGATTATCAGGGAGGCCTGCAACCTCCTGCAAAGGTTGTGTGTTSTTGTTTACTGGCACAACTGTGAGTCTCTCTTGAAATCAAAATTGTGAATGGTACTTGGAATGAGCCTCAGGTGAGTTTTGAACTCTGGAAAATACTTTTAATTTCAAYGCTTTGAAGGTCTGGGTGGTCTGTGTTGACCTCTAATACAAGAGAAATGGTGGTGCACCTGCAAACTACACCTGTTCTGGTGCTTAATTCATGGCCATCAGGGTTGGGGTAAAACCTYGTGCTATTAAATTTAAATTTGATGCTGTTGTGTGGATTGTAGGTCTGGCCCCATGAGTTTATAGGCAGCAGTAGGTTCAAACTCTATAGAGAGATGTAAAGTGGTACCTACAGTGCAAGTTGCACTTGTCCCTCTCTGTGGAAGCTTGTCCTTTCGAGAGAGGTCTTTGGCAGATTCCGTGTCCTCCCTTGTGCTGCATAAATGTCACCTTTCCCAGGGCTAGGACCCAGCAAAGCCTGAACTCTGGAGGTACAGCAAAAATCTCTACTTTTGGGAATCAGGGATCAGCTTTGTCAGTTGGGAGGCTTGTTAGAAATAGTCAGCCTGCTTTATTCCTGGGCCCACACAAGGAATGAGGATGGATGGATGGATGGATGGATGGATGGATGGATGGATGGATGGATGGATGGATGGATGGATGGATGGATGGATGGGATGGATGGGATGGATGGATGGATGCATGGACGGGATGGTTGGATGGGAGGGTGGATGGATGGGTGGATGGGTGGATGGATGGATGGGATGGAAGGATGGATGGATGGGATGGATGGATGGATGGATGGATGGATGGATGGATGGATGGATGGATGGATGCCCACCAGAGCTGAGCATGAGTTGTGCCCTTGCACAGCATCTAAATATTTCCTCTGTCAGTGCAAGTACCAGCTCTGGAGGAAAGGCACAAAGCAGTGCCTTGGAAACTGGAGGCTAGGTGGACTTTTCCATAAAATCAGCCACATTATAAGCATGTGATCTTCATAATATCCACAGTAGTAATTTCCTGAAATTCCCACTGAGGTCAAACTCAAAGGAATCTGAAATGTAGGCAAAAAATATTTGAGTAAAATTATGCAAGACTTGTGTAGAGTCAGAGAAAATGAGCAACGATTTTTGTATTGACCTCTGGTCAGACTCATATTTCCATTACAGCAAATTTATGTGAATTGTGGAATGCATCAAAACTAGAAAAGAGAAATGGGCAGAAATGGTCTTTTTACTRTAAGGAATATAGATTATTGATTTTATATGACTGAGCTAGGTCTATCAATAAAAGAGGGCCCATTTTTAAGTAAAATTTAAATTAAACTGAATTTTCTGCACTCTAAATATTTTATTATATTCTAGATGTGGACAAAAATTTTATGAAGCTTAGATTTTTTTTTTTCATTAGGGAAAATTCAGCTCAGTTATTTTATAGCTCCAGCTGAAGAACACTTCACTTTTTTGACAGGAGATCCTTCAGGCGTCTTAACTGAAGTGGTGTACATTTTCTGTTGGTCTTGAAAAGGCACTTCACTTTCCCAACAAAGATTTTTATGGGGTAATGTTGAATGTATATTAAATACACATTCCTTTTTGTATATTTTGTACCATTGCACACTTATTATTGTACATTGTATTTGTTGTCATGATGTCATTTATATATGGTTGTCAAAGATGATATGCTCACAGAGAAAGTGGTTATGGCTTTGGGATTTCACTTCTTGGATCTTTTATGATGAGGGTTTTTATGTTGTTGATTTTTATTCGACTAGTGTGTTGTAGCATCAAAGATATATATCTGATGGACATTCATAAAATAAAAATATATTTGAAATTTTGGACTTGAGATGTTTGGTGGCACTGCAGCCTTTCCTGAACACTGCAGGTCTTCAGTCATGAGCAGAGCTTTTCACTGCCATCAAAATTCATCTGTCTACATCTCCTTAWTTTTTTTCCCTTCTCTCTCCATATGTTTTCTCAGCCATAATTACAGTTCATTCTCTAGAACACCATTTCTTTTTTCATCACTGGACCCATATCCCTGTAATGCAAAAATGCCTTAATTATTATGAACAATATTTAATTTGACTTAATACCACACAGGTTTAATTTGGTTCCCTTCCCTTTCCATTATATTTTCCAAATAAAATGGAATGGATTTTTTTTTGGCAGCTGTGACAGACTTTGCTGTGTGACTCTTCTCAGCTTTGCTTCCAAATGGTTTGTCATGATATTGTTGAAGATTCTCCCAGGCAGTCTGATGGTGTATCTGGTGCAGTGCTAACATAGTGGGATGCAAACCAATACTGTAGATTTTCTTTACCTTAAAATAAGAAAAYTGCATTTTCAAGCAATTAAGCAAACATAAACTGAAATATTTGAGCTGACTTCTGCTGTTCTTTTCTTTCTGTTAAAGATGTCGTAGAGAGGGGAAGTTTCCATTTCCATAAGAGATAAATTTTGGAAGCCTTTAACACTTCACTAAGAAATTAGCTGTCTGTGACCTCTTCTAGTGCACTGCCAAAATTTACTTGCAGCAACCTCCCMCTTTTCTTCCACATGGAATCCCATCAGAAAACTGCTATTTGATGCCATAAAACAATGTGAATCAGTCTGTTATGTGTTCACTTGATTAAACGGAATGCATTTTATTGCTGCATTTGCATGCTTTTCTTTGAAATCTGGAGTCAAGCAACTGAATCTCTTTGAGGATTAAGCACATTTTAGTGGTGTCTGTATAAATTATTGGCAAATTAGCAGAACGTTATTGTCTCAGCTTTGACAGTGCTTGCTAGGAGGGAACTTCACAAAGAATGTGTTTTGGCTTGGCTCTGATTATGTTGCTTGGTGTTTGTAATATAGAATACAATTGATTAAGGTTTAGGGAAAACTGTCTTGGAGCCACAGTGGGAAATTGTTGAGTAGCTTCAATGATCTGTCATCTTTGTTCAAAGGAAGGATTTGCTTTCATACAAAAACCTTTGAAAAATAAGTTCTGGGATTCTTTGTTAGTGAGGGGGAAAGTTTGCAGTTTTTGTCCTTCCAGAGCTGGTAGTATCCATAAAATCAAGGTATTTGATTATATTCAGATAGCAGCAGGAGTCACAATTCAGGAGCCAGGGGTTGTTGACTCCTCTCCAGCACTGACCAACACAGATGCTTCAATGTAAGAGTAGAAGCAGCTACAGTTGGTGCTGACACACCAATGGGGATGACATTTCCTCCTCAAGCAACAAGGAATGCTGCTGTTGGTCCATATCATGAGGCAYAGAGAATTTAAATACCTTTTCTAGGTAACGTAAGAGGGAGCAATCACAGAAACACAGAATATTTTGAATTGGAAGGGACCTTAATGATCTTCTAGTTCCMCCTCCCCCTGCCATGAGCAGGGACGTTTTCCAACAGCAGGTTGCTCATCCAGCCTGGCCTTGAGCACTTCCAGGGTTGAGGCATCCACAACTTCTCTGGGAAGCACATTCCAGTCCTTCACCACCCTCACAGTGAAATATTTTCTCCTAGCATGTAATCTAAATGTCCCCAGTTTTAGTTCGAAACCATTACCTCTTCTTCTATTGCTATCTGCCCATGTAAAAATAACTTTTTTATAAGGCCCCTTTAGGTACTKGAAGGCTGAAGTGAGGTCTCCCCAGAGCCTTCTTTTCTCAGTGATAACCTTAAGARAACTCATATGAAGTTCTGCTTATCTTTGGTGGTGTTCTCTCTTAGTCCTTCCCCTTGTGTGCTACTTTCACTCAATCCACTTGTTTTAATTTCTTGTTGAAGGCTTGTAAACTGTGCTGCTTTGGCAAAATGTAAGGGRAGAGGAACAGAAATAAAATGAAGTCAGGCTCATCCTAGAATATTCAGTGTGTGTCACAATGTATGGTGATGTCCCCAGTAAAATGACTGGATGTGGCCACACTGAATTCAGCAGGAACGAGAGAAACACAAGAATTGAGATGATCAAAAGCTGCAATTGTGTTTGGTTCTTCCTCTGGACCTGCAGTTTGGGAGCTCATCAGGAAGATTTCTCTGAGGTCCTGTGTACTGTAAAGTAAACTTTGTTTATTTCAGATTGGTCTGTAATAACATTTTGAGTCTTATTTTTCTATTCTGCCCATAGATAAGAAGTGATCATTTTTCCACAAACCTTTCTGCAACTGCGATTTTTATCAGAGAACAGAGGTACTTGGAAATTACGACTTCTGAATAAGAAACTAAAACTTCCTTCAACCTTTAGTAAGGCACAGTAGGTGCTGGGTTAAGCCTTGCTCTGATCCACAGCATTTCCTCCAATTTCAGCATTTCACTCCGCAGTGTGCAGGGTTCAGAGCAGTGTGATGACTCAAGGCTCACAGTCAGGATACTTGGGAGGAATTGTGACCCAATCTGCTTTGAGGTGAATTGCTCAAAGCTTTAAATAAAATGGAAGCAATAATGAGATTGGAAGAAGTTTGTATTCTAAGCCCATGTTTTACAACAACTGGGAATAAAAGTTACAAACCTTTTAAAATAGAGAAACTAAAATAATTATGTGAAACAACAGCAAAGAAAAAACCCCAAACCTAAAAATACCCTTAATCAAGTGGTTTTCATGCCAATATGTTGCGGAAAGCCTCTGCTTTGACATTTTCCTTTTCTCTCCTTYTGTGTTTTGAAACTGGATTATTCAMCAGRCAATACCAGAACATCTGCATCCCTGGACAGACATCCAATGGAAAGTAGTGAAAGGCTTTCAAGACAAAACCAAATAAAGTACAAGAATATCAGGAACATTTGGTGGGACTGGAACTCCAGAGCTCTGCATGTTTTGGTTGTTGTGTTTTTTTGCATGAAAACCCAAAATGATAGAGACTTTCACACCAACTGAGTGTTCACAGCAGGTATTTAGACACAGAGACTGGGTCATTTTCTCAATAGTGCTGTGCAAATGAATGAAAACTCTGGCACAGTGAGATCCTCACCTGCTGTAAATTAAYTTCAGTGTTGTCAATTTAGATTCTGGGACTGGAATTCATCTGACACAATGCCTTAAATTTTAGTGCAAACTCTGTGATCTGAGCAAGCTGTGCTYGCCTTTATTTGGAGAGATTCATCCCTGCTTAAAGTGTCTGCCTGAGATAAGACAGGGGAATTATGCCTACTTCCCTCCACTGAGTACAAAGGGAGAAGGGATTGACAATCTCAGATGTAGCTATTTACTTAGTCCTTGCAAACAATGAGTGTTAGATGAGGTGCATTTGACCCTGATTGTGGCTTTCCATAAAAATTGAGAAGAAATTCTCATTGGCCTAGGCATTTTTAAGAGCTCCATAAAAATAAGACTTCAGCAATATGGTTAGGTACTCTGACCTTTTGTCACACTTTGACCAGCCTGTTAATCCACAAAAGAGCACACCAAAGTCAAATGAATGTAGCTGCCCAACCAGAGGTGCTTTAAGAGGTTTTGATTTGGAAAGGAGGACTCCCAGCTTGTCAAAACCTGACCCTGTGCTCTGCATCAAGATGGGACACAAGCCTGAAATATTAGGCATGGCAAAGGTTGTGGAGAAGAAGAAGCTGAGTGCAGAGCTCTGTGTGTAGGGTGGGCTGATCTATGTTTTGGGGAAAGTCACAGAGATCAGTCACAGGACTGAACAACTCCATGATAAAGAGGCTCAAATGGCTGCTTGTGTAGCCAG